AAAATTTGAAGGCCGTCCGAAGATTCCTGGGTATGGTCGGGTTTTCCGGCAATTTTGTGAAGGATGTTTCCTTGTTGGCCGAGCCAGTTCATGCATTGAAGCGTAAGGATGCTCTGTTCGTATGGGGGGACTCCCAGAGGCGTGCCTTCGAGGCACTTAAGGATGCCATTTCTACGCCACCGGTATTGCAGGTGCCAGACTTCTCGAAGGAATTCGTCCTAGTTTGCGATGCGAGCGATCTGGCTGTGTCTGCCATCCTCAATCAGCGGTGCGAGTCCGGATTGGCCCCCATAGCGTTTGCGAGCCGTTTGCTTTCGGCAACGGAACGTAAGTATTCGACCTATGAAAAGGAATGTCTCGCGGTTGTTTGGGGATGTGAGAGATTTAGGGCGTATTTGGAGCATAAGCAGTTTGTCCTCCACACGGACAACCAAGCCCTGTCATGGCTGCTGAAGCAGGTCAGGGAACTTGGTCGCTTAGGTAGGTGGATACTGCGCTTGGCGTCTTTTAAGTTTACGGTGGTCCATGTTACTGGAAAAGCTAATGTTGTAGCGGACTGTCTGACACGCCAATTTGAGAAGCCTACCTCCGATCAGCTATTTTCGGGGCTGGTGCTTCAACATTTGCCCGCCGCATTCTCATCTATAAGAGAACATCAGATTAAAGACTCACGCTGCAGAGAGATTTACGACAAAATTAAACATCGAGACCCTGAGGTTCGAAACTACCAGCTGCTGAAGGACACCATCGTTTATTCCCCATTGAGAGCCAGGGCTAAGAGGTATTTGGTCCCTCAAGACCTTAGACCTATGGTCCTGGAGTATTTCCATGATTCGGCCCTAGGGGCGCATTTGGGTGTCGCCAAAACTCTCCTTCTTATATCTAAGGTGTTTTACTGGCCGGGCATTAGGTCGGAAGTTTCGAAATATGTCCGCAGTTGTCAGCCTTGCCAGAAGGCGAAACCTGCCCGAAATGCCCAGGTGGGTCTTCATCATAGCGAAGTGGTCCCCAAACCCATGGAGCTTATTTTCATCGATTTTGTGGGGCCGATAGTCCGGAGTCGGCGGGGGAATGTGGCTATCTTGGTTGTGTTAGATGGCTTCTCTAAATTTGTGGCCTTGTACCCGGTCAGAAGGATCTGTTCTGAGGCTGTTGTCAAGGCCCTGACAGGGGTATTTCCCCTGTTTTGGTCTTCCCCACACCATCGTTTCGGACAATGCGGCTGTGTTTAATTCTCGCCGGTTTTATAACACCTGTTTTTCTTGGGGGATCAAACACGTCACCACCTCTCCCTATTATCCCCAAGCCTCCCAGGTGGAGAGGTTTAATCGAAATCTGAAAGTAGCCCTTACCGTCTACCACCACTCTCAACATACCTTGTGGGACGAGAATCTCCCTATGCTGGCCATGGCGTTTAATTCCGCCTGGCATGAGAGTACTGGAACCCAACCCGCCGTGCTTTTCCTTGGTCGGGAACTTAACCATCCTTTGGGGTTACGTTGGGAGTTCTCTGAGCTGGACTTACAGCGACCCCCTGCGGATATGCAGATATATTGGGGGACGGCCTTGCAAAATTTGAGGAAGGCTAGGGATAGGGTTGCCCGGCGTTATAACATACTGAGAAGGGAGGCGGCGTTTCAGGTGTGAGACCTGGTCTTGGTCCGTCTCCATCCACAGAGCTCCAAGGTGCGGGAAAGGCCCGCTAAGATTGATATGCGATGGTCAGACCCCATGGTTATTTCTAAGTATTTGACTAATGTCACTGTTCAGTTGGCAAATCCAGCCACTGGAGTTATCTTGCGTAAGGCTCATGTTTCTCAGTTGAAGAAATATTTTGTTCGGGACTAACTGGTTAGCCCCAAGTAGCCTTGTCACGCTGTTAGCTATCATTTTGTATTGT